GGGGTGAGTTTGCCGGGACGGGATTCTGCGTCTCGCCCGGCCTGCATCCCCTCCCCGCGGCCCTTAGGATGATGTTCTTTTTGTCGCTCCGACGCGTCCGCCGCCTTTTGCGGAACTCTGTGTCCAACCTCCTCTCTGATCCTCTTTTCTTCTCCCTCTTGTCTCCCCACTTCCCTTTTCCTCGTCCCCTCGTTTCTCTGCCCCTCCTCCTTTCCTCCTCTCTTCCCCTTCCCTTCCGCCTCCCCGGTCCCTCTCCACCCTCCCCTCCCATCTATTCTCAGGTCGCCTCCCGTGCCCCCCTTCATTCCCTAGTCCGTCCTCCCTTCTCACCCCGCTCCCCGCTCCCTCTCTCTCCTCTCTTTTCCTCAGTCTTCCCCTTGTCTGTTCTCCATCCCCTCATCTCTCTCTCCTTCTCTCTCACCCCTCTGTCCCTCCCTCCACCTCCCCCCCCTTTTCTGCCAACCTCAGACACGACAGGAACTGACTTGGGGGGGTGATGGAGACACCGACAGAATTACGCTTCCCCGCTCCGCCGTCCCGGAAGGGGGACAGCGAGTGTCCTGGGATGTATCAACACGGTGGTGCCATCACGGACAGCTTGAGAATAACCAGAATTACAAGGAGGCGGCTATTCCCCGCTTGAACCGGGAAAGACTTGACAACATGACTTCCTTGGTTTTAACGTGGTGTCTCCAGGACACATTCCAGCTCCCTGGCATCCCGGGGCGTCACTCACGCCAGGAGAGCTAGGCAGGTCCCCAGGGGCGCCCAGGCACCATCTCCGGCCTTGGCCCCCTGGCTGGAAACTCAGACTAAGGGAGCGAGTGGGACAGATGCAGGGAACGTTGCGGGTGACTCCGCTACCTGTGCGCCGGCCACCTCGGCCCCGGGCTCCAGGTCCTCGGGCCCCCGCAGGAACCACCACTGGATCTCCAGGTACACTGAGGCGGAGCCGCTCTGGAAAGCGCAGGACATTTCCACATTCTGCCCCTCGGTCGCCGTAACGTTCCGCGGAAACTCGGTAAATTTTGCTGCAAAACAGAAACGCGTCCTTTTGAAATATCCACACCACTCTTTCCAGCGTCTCTTTCCCTGAGAGCTCCCTCCATTTTTATTTTTATTATTTTGGACTTAAAAATACAGGAACAAAATCCCTCTGTGACATCCCGGACTTTGCCTGGCTCCCCAATCCTCTGTCCTTTGCCTCTCTCTTGTCTTGTTGTTGGTATCATGCCTAACTCACTTTGTTGTTGATCAAGCCCAGATAATGGAAAGGTTAAGAAGCTTGCCAATAACTCCCCTCTGTTAGCCAACCTGCCCACGGTTAGATCCAAATACCTTGTGTCAGATTGCAGTATTCCCCAAAATTTACAGAGGGATTCAGTGAGGTACATTTTAGACAAATCTGTCCAGTTGATATATGAGGAGATCCTCTTGCCTCCAAGTTTCTAAACAATCTGTGATTGTTTCATGTAATAGAGAATGGATCATGATTATCTGTCAAAATGTACATTCTTGATGTGGCAAAATAATTATTAGCAATTGTGAGTTGAAGGCTATGAAGCAATGAAACAAGTTGCACGCTTTCTGAGGTGTGATTCTTTCCAAATTAACCTTCATATTTGTTCCCATCAAGCCACTGTATTGTAAATTACCATACATCATGGGATGTAAGAATCACACACCTGGGCTTAGTTAAGATTAAAGGTTGTTTTGAAGTCACTAGAGAGATTTTTTTCAGCCTTTTCATTACCAACCTTGACACTACTAGTTGGCAAGATTCACGGAGTCATGGTGAAACTCACAAAAATAAGATATTCCTTTTCTCCCAAAGGCACTTCTTTAACATGGAATGCTTTGGATGGTTGTTCTTATCTTGTCTAATGGACACTTTGCAAAGAGCTGATGATTCCCTAAAACTAGTCTTAGATTTGTGGCTGAGGGAAGTGCACAGCTACAGTGCACATTCTTGGAGCGGAGGACTGAGGGGTCTGCAGGACTGATTTAGGGTGGATGCACTTTCCTCCACTTTTTAGAGAGACACCATCAGTGTCTCTTTTCAAAATTTTATAAAATCCCAAATGATCTCTATTGAAATGGAACTGTATTTGTACTTAGAGGAAATGGGAGATTTTAGAAGACATTCTGATCTGAAAAGGACTTTTCTGTTCAAGCTGGAAGCAGTATGGCATTTCTGCTTGCAGAAGTGATGCAGTCTTCTGGCAGCAGAGATGTGATCTGTTCATGGTGCTGAAATGTTCACTGCAGCCTGCAAAGTCCAGAACAACTGGATTCAGCAGGCTGCTACTGCTTGTAATGCAAGTCGTGCCTTTTAATGGATCCTCCGAGGAGTCTGTCCTTGTGTAAACACATATGCAAACGAAGTCACACGGACCCAGGAAAAGGAAGCTCTAAACCCATTCTGCTGACACTGAGAAAGAGGACTGGCAATGGAGAGTCCCCCATTCCCAGCTCCGTGTTTGTTTGCGATGATTATGTATGCATGAGTGGTTACCCTGTGCATGCACACAGAAGGCACACACACACACACACACACAGAGCCCTGTGTGTGTGCTCACCGAGGAACCTATCTCATTGTCAGGCACCAACTAGATTTGTTCTCAAATCTAGCTTGCCTACTATTTAGTAAACTTTAAAGAAAAATGCCAAACAAAATGCTATTTCACTATTACTTGCTAGGAACCTCACTACATCCGCCTGGCCATTCTCTGAACGTAGAGAAGATACACACACACATAACACACCACAAAACAATGTATATTTGTCAATGAGCACAGACTTACCTTGAGAAGAAAGCCCTTGCTGTACATATAAAACGGAAAAGAAAACAAATCCAACGTATGCCAAAAAGATCCCCATCATTCCAAAAAGGGGGAGGGGGTCACATCAGTGTAGCCAACAGCCAAAATTCCCGAAAAGAAAGGAATGCAAATGTATCAGAGGCTTCGTCTCAGCGTCCTGGTCGGAACACTGCAAACATCCTGCTGCTCGCTCGGCGAGCACTGGCTTTAGGAGAGGGGAGAACAGTTCGTGAAGGTGAAAACCAGCCGGCTCGGGTTCGGTGAGGCTTCGAGTCCAGACCCGGCTTGCAACGCTGGGAAGTGTCCCCGCTGCTTCGCTGCCTGCTCTAAGCTACCCGGCGGCTCGTCCCACGTCAGCCCGCCGCTCCGGCTGGCGTGATCACTGCCCTCCCTCCACACCGAGCCGGCTCGGCGAGCGGGGAGTGGGCAAGGGGGGCGGGCAGGAGGACTCCGCCGGGCTCCACGCCGCAACTTTTCCCTCTAATGGCTGCGATGATGCCTTTAACTCTCTGCGCGCCGGACAGCTCCCCACCCCCGGGACTCGGCCGCGCAGCCCGCAGAGGGCACGGGGCTGGGCGGCCAGTCTGCCTTTTCCTTCGCGAGAGCAGGAGCATTTATTTTTTTCCAATGTGCTTTTTCCCCCGTCGACTGACTCTTTCTCGCCTCGGCGGATCGGATTGCTCAGCGTTGAAGAGGACAATACGGTTGTAGGATTGCGGTGTTGGATTGCTGGGGGCTAGGAGCTGGACATTTGAGCAGGAAGTTGGGGCATTGTTGAAGAGGAGGGGAGCGATGAGATGGGGTGAAAGAGACTGCTTTGGGGAAATGAAAACAGCTATTTGAGAGAAATGTCGCTTAACTAGTCATTAACTGCTCTAACTAGACTGGTCACATGCTGTTATTTCACATGAATTTATTGCTGAGCAGCCTCCAGTGGAAGACAGGCGGCTCATGCAGGCACCGTACCACTCTAGCTGGCAAATAGAAAAGACAAAAAGTACAAAAAGTCACGTATTGAGAGAATTTTCCAGAAAGAAAAGCCCACCATACTGCATTTGCTTTTATTCATTTATTTTTTAATTCATATGTCTCTCTGCTTTCCCTGCCTCCATCTCACACGTATTTTGGAATGGGGGAGGGGTTTTAAATACCATTAAGGTTTTCCTGGCATGATTTGTTTCTGTTTTGTTTATTTGCTTTTTTTTGCATAACAATCATTAATGTTCTCTAGGATTATATGAATAAGAAATATTGTTTTGAACAAAAAGCACAGTAAGTTTTAGAATTTAGAACAAATCTAGTTATCTGCCCTGGAGAAGATTTGAGATGTATATTCTGTTTCTTATTAAGAATCTGCAAATAGTATATATCACGTTAAAGACTCTGTCCTTATGAAATCCAACCAGTAGTCAGGGAATTTAAATCATTTTAACAAAATTAAAATCATTTGCCTTCTAAGCAGACTACCAGATATTTTATTCCCATTATTATTTCTATGCAACTATACCACAAATCTTCAGTATTAGTTGGAAATGTGACTCAGTCTTAACAACGCTGTTAGGAAACCAAGGCAGTGTATGTACTTTCATTTTAGTGTAAAGATTTTGAAGTTGGCTAATTCCTTCACTGACTAGAAAAAATTAACCTTAACATGGCTGTTGAATTTTTAAATCACTTATCCTTCTACTACTGAATGTGTCAGTAGCTTAAAAGATGGGAAAACAAAGACACAATAAATTCATACCAACATTATTTATTTTCTGAAGATATATTCATTTGTCACTGTGGGTAGAGGCAGAAAATAAGATTTGGAGAAAGCAAGGGGGATATTTCACATCTGTTCATGTTGAGGCTAACAAGACCCCATATCCTTCTTGTATTGAGCAAAGGATTCTGAAGTATGTCATTTCAAGAAAATAAGTCTCTTTATGCCCAAACACTCTCTCAGAGAGATTGTGTTCAGAATACAGAAACAAATCCAAGTTACACACCTTCTCCATACTAAATATTATTTGGAAAATAAATAAAACTTTGCAGTATTAGATCCTCAGAGGTTAGTCATCTCTAACTTTAAATATTATGCCTAACAAGCATAGCTCAATGTTTATCCCAAGGCCTTAGCTTTATTTGAACATTTAACATAAACGTGAGATTAATATGTCATGAAAATGACCTGACTTCAAGGTTTTTCTGCTGTTAGAACAGTTTCCAATATAAAGAAAAGGGCATCCATTTTAAGCAAGGAAAGTTCTGTATTATTTTAGCAAAGCACTTCAACTGCTGTTAAGGAGAACTTGATCACTGTAACTGCAGAAGTACAATAGAAATAAGCTTAGAAGTGTGAAAAGTAAAGTGTGAGAAAAGCTTTCATAGGACAGATAAACCATCAAACTACTTTAAATAGGAAGTTATAAGCATTTAATCAACAAAAGAAAGAAAGAAGGAGGGAAGGAAGAAAGGAAAAAGAAAGTAAGAAAAGAAGAAATAAAGAATGAAGAAAGAAGGAAGATAAAATTGGAAAAGAATTTATGTTTTTTATTTTATTTTCAGTTTTGCTGATGTAGACCAAAAATTTTATCTTAAATATCTGTTATATCATCTCAAGGACTGTAAATAGTGCTGGTAAACACATTTGCATTATTCTCTTTGGAACCTTTGCCTTATTTAAGACAAAATGTCTCTATATTGACAGTTTAAAATAAGAAAATTTAATTAAAAGGTAAATATATACAGTATATCAAATGACATAGTTCTGGGACTATCTCATCATTTTTAATAAGCCCTTGTAAAACACTGTGTTCTACAAAGCTGGAGGCAACCTACCAGGAAAGACAACTTGTCTGCATCCAGATATGGGAGTGACATTTCCTGCTCAATTTTTCCTCCCCCAAGTGATTGCTGGTGCCTTATCCTATAGAAATGAGTGCAAGTTTCTTCTTTAAAAAATACCTATTTATGAACTTGTCAGGGAAGAGGGAGAATTCCCCCCTCTGCCCTTTCCCTTAAAGTTCTTCTGGCTGGACAAATAATTAACAAGACAGGTTAGCAGGAGAAAATAACACCAAGTTTAATAACATGTATACATGGGAGAAACCAGGGAAACTGAGTTTCTCAACAAAATGGCAGAGATTCTCGTCTTTAATACTATGGTCAGCCAAAGACAAAGGAGGATGTTGGGAGTGGGTGATGTTTTGGGATTTCAGAGGGGAAGAAGACAATTTACATAAGAGGGAAATGTAAATGTTTGTCAGACAATGCTTTGCAGGGCCACCTATAGAGAATGTGGCCAGAGAGACAGGAATTATAGTAATCAAGAGTATGTAGATTTAAGTCTTCTCTTTGTAATCAAGAGTATGTAGATTTAAGTATTCTCCTTCTGTACTGATAACAGTTTCCAGAGACAAGGCCATCCCACACCTCTTCTCAGCACACAGAGGGAGATACCTTTACAAATGTAAATATTTGGTAAACAGAACTTTGTTAAGAATGGGCTTAGCGAGGACCCTGCCAGTCTGTCTACACCCAGAGTTAAATTCCTTTAGGCAGTTAATGGGGGAGGTCAAATGTCCACCAGAGAAAATAAAGTAGAGAGATATATTTCAGGGTGGTCAATTTTGATCTCCCACAAACTAGTGCTCCAAGAATAAAATCCTACGATCTCATTTTTTGATTGTTTTCTTGCCTTCTGAATTAGCTTTTCATCATTTTTTGTTTACTTTTTTAAAATTTAAATATATGTATCACCACAGCTACTTTACCCCTAAAATTTGTAATAGGAATGCTTATTTGAATATGCTCCTTTCAGGCATAATTCAATCTGTTTGAGTTCATTCCATTGCCTTCCTTTGGTGTCTTATTCAGATTGCATTTTACTCTTTTTTTGTATGGAAAAACTTGTTTAACTTTGTCTTTCAGACACTGCTGCCTTATGATGTCTGCAGACTTCTACATATGCTTTCAGAGCCATTGATTTACCAAGACCCTAACTGGAGAGGGGAATCTTCAAGTTCTCTGATGATAGACTACATCCTCCCTTGCTTCTAAGAGGGCTTTGGGGCATTTGTGCATCTGGGACTTGATGGGGATCACAATATTTCACTCGCATAGGCTCCTGATAGAATGACTTTCCATAGTACACTTTCGTAATCTGTCCTAAATTGGGGCTTATGTACCTGATGCAAACTTTTTTTATTTTCTGAATAATTGGAAGGCATTTGTGCATCTGAGACTTGATGGGGATCACAATATTTCACTCGCATAGGCTCCTGATAGAATGACTTTCCATAGTACACTTTCGTAATCTGTCCTAAATTGGGGCTTACGTACCTGATGCAAGATTTTTTTATTTTCTGAATAATTGGAAAGCATAAAATTAGGTATTTTATTAAGAAATAATCTTTAAAATAAAACCGTTTAAGTATTTGGAAGATCTCTTTATGGATCCAGAAGCATAAGCTTTATTTCTTCATCTCTCTTGAAGGCATCTCACGGGGTTAGTTGAGCTGCACGTGCCTCTCCATTCATGCACCTAGAAGTGCATCCTACTGTGTTCTTGAAAGTGTTCTTTGGAGAAGCTCAAAACTGCATAAGAGAGAATATTTCAGGTTATTGAGGAAAATTTTCATCTGTAACCTCATGCTTAGTTTACTTATTTTTTCTCACTTGGGGAAATAAAAGGAAATATTACAGAGTCTTTGAATATGGAAGCAATATTAACAATCCACAGAGAAACTGTATTTCAACTGGAGAAAATAAGAGTAAAGGAGAAAGCCACTAACTCACATCAAACAAAGATGAATGAGCTTCAAAAATTTGTTTTCCACTGAATTATAAAAGTTAATGCCTTCGTAGTGCTGGGTTTACTGGTCTCCTCCACGTGTCACATTACAAGGACACATGATAATAACAGAAAAAAACAACATGAATAATATCTCTTTCCATACGTGTACACATAATGTCTTCATAAAATGAGTGAATTTCAGAACTGGGATGGAGTTTAGGAAGCAATTAATCCAAACCACTCATACTACATGTGAGAGATCAGGGGCTGCTAGTGACAGCCAGTCACATGCATCACAAAAGAGAATCAAGACTTTATATCTTCAAGAGCCTAAGACCTAAAATGCTTAAAATGGAGAGTAGAGGATTAAATATTTTAAGGCAAGCAAACACAACTTGTTTATGCCCTTGGTTCTATAAGTTATACTTAAAAAATGAGCATTAAAAATAAAATTAATTGCAACCAAATTCTCCTAGACGCTAGCAAACAAGCCACTCGAAATTCCAGACTCAGAGAATAGTTTTCAAATCTCCTCCACGCAACTTCTTTTTATCTCATATACTGTGTCTTATAAAGAAAACAATTCAGAGAGAGAACAACTGGTGGTCATTGGAAGTGATCGAAGATTTGACACAGCCTGGTGGCCTATGTGGATTCTAACTGCCCATTACATGGCTGCTGTTCGTTTTAATCTTCCAGATGGCCTTTCTGCCTTTATCTTTTCCTTTTATACAAGGCCAAAATGTAGATTACT